CTTTAGTAAGATTTCAAGTCATCAAAGATGCATTTGGATGATACTGCTCTTCCTGAAAAGCTATTGGAACATATCAGTAAACAGAACTTTCTTATTTTGACAGGGGTTTTGGTCAATTTGGGTCAAACAAACATACTCTGAACTTATTTTCTTTCTGAAGATGATCTCAGTTATGCTCACAACAGATGCTCCACAAGTCTCAGGGAACCACCCACACCCAGTGGCTGCTTTCAAAAGAGATTCTTATAAAAGTGAAAAAGCATCCAAACTTTAAACACAGCCTGAAATGCTTTATGCTGGCCAATGCAGAAATCAGACACAAAAGCTGACAGTACTGTGTCTATTTGACAAAGTTCAGTGACTCCACAAAATCCACTCGATTGTTTTTAGACACTTTTCCTGGTTGCCACAGTTTGGCTTAAATGAAAAGAAATGTGGGAAAATCACAATGTATTTTTGTACGCCTATTTATCATGTCACTCTCAGATTTGCCAGACATTACTGGTGTCTAGAGAGTCTTGAGGAGTGAGTTTTCTAGTCAGTTTGTGTACAGAATCTGTTTCCATTCAGAACTATTCTGTTGCACTCGGGTTCAAATATTAATACTGTTAGAAGTATTTCATATCAATTTTTACTCATTTTTATGTTTTTTTTTTTTTTTAGTTTAGTTAGTTAGTTAGTTAGTTAGTTAGTTAGTTAGTTAGTTAGTTATTTTTTGGTCTTTTTGAGACAGGGACTTCCTGAAGCCCCGGCTAGCCTGGAACTCACTATGCACATCAGACTGGCCTCAAACTCACAGAGATCCACCTGCCTCAGCCTCTCAAGTACTGGCATTAAGGCATGTGCCATCACACTGGGGTTCAAAGTACTTGGTTTGTTTTTATTGAATTTTTCTGATTTTTCCAAGGCAGCTGGTCAATTACTTAGACGAATTCACAAGAGTGACAGCATACACAAGGCCTATGCACGCTCAAACTAGACAAAAATCCCAGCATAGACATGAGGAAGTGGGTAAGAAATCCCAACCCAACCTTAGGAACTTTTGCCAATTGGTGGCTGCTGGGGGGGGGAGACAGTATTCCAGAGATGGGCCTCTTGGAGGGTCCAGTGGACAGAGCCACACCCACACTGAAGGACATTTAGGGAAAGAAATCAGACTCTGACTTTTCTTATGATTAGTATTTGTACACAGTGACAGAGTTCCTTATGACATTTTCAGACATATAGATAATAAGATGATAGTCACCCACTCTATTATCCTCTCTGATTCTCCCTTCCACACCCCTTTTCAACTATCACATTCTTATATCTTATTTTACTTGCATGTCCTTTTTAAATTTTTTCATCTATGAGAACACACACGTCATAATTGCATTTGTGTCTCATTTCATTCATCTAACATAATTTACTTCAGGGTCTCTACCTGGCTTTCAAGGTCTTCCTTGCTCCCATTCATCTTCTATAGTCTTTCCCCTGCCCACAAGAATCTCTAATTTCTCCCAAACCCTAAAACTAAAGCTCTCTAGCTTCAGATATGAATGTAGCCAAACCTTAAAATCTAGTCTAGACTAGACATTGATGTGAATGTTGGCTATGCTTCAAGCTGAAATTGCCGTCTGTGTGCTTAACTGTATCCACCTAAATACATGCTGAATTTATTAAGGAAACTAGGATAAAAAAATAGGAGAACAGCATCAAAAGCTCCTCTTTTACTAAACAAAGAGCTGCTGTCATTTGTTGATTAACAAATTCAAATATAGACAGGAACAGATTTCACTTGGAAGTCCAGATGACATTTAATATCAATTGAAATAGAACATTTATTTATTCTGACAAAGAGAACATATGAACAGTTCTTAAACAGTTCTAATTTAGTATGCCTTGTAATAATTACATGTATAACTGACCTTTTTTGCTTCATATTCCACACTTAATGACCAGAAAATAAATGTGTCTGTTTTGCCATAAATTTGCTCAGAATACTGAGCATAAGCTATTACTCAAAAAATAAGTGTTTGAATGTTGACTATTTCTTGTGTTTCTATCATGTATCAAGTTCTTACTGGGACATGCACAGAAATTAAGAGGAAGAATATTTTAGTGAAGTAATATCTTACATACTTATAAAAGTGGAATCTCCTAAGAAATGAAAAATTACTGCCCATGAGCAAAAATGAGTATCAAAGACCTGCACACCTTGTCTTCAATAAGGATAAAAGTTTACAGTAGGAGACCATCTACAGACTCCTGAGAACTATAATCCAGCTCTCACATCTCTATACCAGACACCAAACAGGTCACCAAACTGCCCATGAGCAAAAATGAGTATCAAAGACCTACACACCTTGTCTTCAATAAGGATAAAAGTTTACAGTAGGAGACCATTTACAGACTCCTGAGAACTGAACTATAATCCAGCTCTCACATCTCTGTACCAGACACCAAACAGGTCACCAAAGAAAGGAGATACTTTAACATAAAAATAACAACAGTGATTAGTTTTTGTCCACTTGACTCACACTAGAGAAACTTGGGAAGAAAGAACTATAATAGAGGAATTTTTTCATCAGAAGTGAGGCATTTTTATTGAATTTTTATGATTTTCATACAATATGTTTTGATGTTGTTTAGATCCTCTCCCCTCTCCCTACTGCCCCTTACTGCTACCTAACCAATTTAATGTGTTCTGTTCATAGACATATAGATGATAGATTAGATAGATGATAGCTAAATAGATGAGATAGATGATAGATGATCATTATAGATAGATAGATAGATAGATAGATAGATAGATAGATAGATAGATAGATGACAGATAGATGATAGGATAGATAGATAGATAGATAGATAGATAGATAGATAGATAGATAGATAGATAGATAGATAGATAGATAGATAGATAGATAGATAGATAGATAGATAGATAGATAGATAGATAGATAGATAGATAGATAGATAGATAGATAGATAGATAGATAGATAGATAGATAGATAGATAGATAGATAGATAGATAGATAGATAGATAGATAGATAGATAGATAGATAGATAGATAGATAGATAGATAGATAGATAGATAGATAGATAGATAGATAGATAGATAGATAGATAAATAGATAGATGATTGATAGATAGATCAATGGATAGGGGCTGGAGAGATGACTCAGCAGTTAAGAGCACTGACTGCTTTTGCAGAGAACCCGGTTTCTACTCCCAGCACTCACATGGTGGCTATGAATGTCCTTACTCTAGTTCCAGGGTAATCTGAAGCCCTCTTCTGACCTCTGCGGCATTGCACGACACGGGCGCACTCACATACATGCAGGCAATACATTCATACACATAAAATAAAAGTAATAAATAAAATGTTTTTTAAAAAGATAAATGCTGATAGACAGATGAAAGAAAGGGAATAAGGGAAGAAAGGAAGGGAGAGAGAGAGAGAGAGAGAGAGAGAGAGAGAGGAGAGAGAGAGTGAAAGGAAGTCTAGTTTGTGTCCCCAAATTTCCTTCAGTTGTAGGTCTATCCACTGAAGCCTAGTCAGCCTATTAAGAGTCACATCCCTGAAAGAGACTGATTCTCCACCTCCTAGGAGCTATTGTTAGCCAATGTTTCCTTAGGTAGTTATGGGTTTTCTTATTCTTACCCACTTCCCTCTGAATATCTATTTCCCATATCTGTGCTGGTATTTTGTCTGGTATGAGCTTGCATGGGACTTGTACATGCTGTCACCATTGCTGTGAGTTCAAATGAGTAACTGATCAACTATCTGGAAAACTATTTCCTTATGGTCATCCACCTCCTCTGGGTCTTATAGTCTTTCATCTTCCCCCTTCTATAACGATCCAACATGGGAAGGGAAAATTTTGATGTAGGTGTCCTATTCTGGGATAAGCACTCTTCATCCTCTTGTTCTCTGGACATTGACCACTTGTGGGTTTCTCTATTAATGACCATCTGCTACGTGAAGAAGGTTCTCTGCTGAGAGTTGCATTAATATGAGTATAACAATAAGTCATTGGGAGTCAGTTTAATGTGATAACCATTTTTTAGAAAGCTAATATTTGTCTTTCCTTTAAGCCATATGATACATTTTTTTAATTGCTAATTGATGTGGAGGGTCCAGTCCACTATGAGCTGTGCTATCCCTTGGTAGGTGGGCCTAGGATGTATAGGAGAGGTAGCTGAGAAAGCCAGAAGAAGCATACTAATAAATAATATTTCTCTATGGCTTCTGCTTAAGTTCCTACCTCCAGGTTCCTGCCTTGTGCTCCTGACCAGTCTTCCTTCCATGATGTACTGACTATAGAGTGTACACTGAAATAAACCCTTTCCTCCACAAATTGGTTTTGGTCATGGTGTTTATAAGAGCAATAAAAACCAAAGGGTATATATAAAGAAAATTTTCAATTAAAACTTTTAATATAAATATATTTGAATAAAGAACTTAAATTTGTAAAGAAAGCCATGTTTTTTCCATGTGTCTTGAAATCCAACTTATTGAATCTTAGTCGATACATATGTAATACAAGTGGAAGACAGGATTGTTCACATAGAACAAGCACATAGAAATGAGTCATATCCTAGAACAAACATAAATTATCCCATCACATACAAAACCTCAGAGGATGACCTCTAACATGTGGATGAGATTATTAAAGTCATACATCTCTAAGGGTGTTATCTTTTCTGGCATACTTAATCACGGTCATTTTTGCTACTACCACTCCAGTGTGCACTTCATTGCCCAGTAGGTAAGCTACAAATTCTCAACAGACAATTCAAATTACTCTCTCCTTCATTTTCTGAGGTTCCAGCTAAACATAGTCAACCATGGTTTGAAAATACATAAAGGAAAACTTCAGAAATAATCACCTACATAAGTTTTCAACTGTATGTTGTGTTGAGTAGTGTGGTGATATCGCACACTCTGAATCTTACCCGGCAGATGAATTAAGTCTCTGCCCAGTGTAAACACTATATATATATATATAGGTTCTTCTAGTAGATCTCTTAGGCTGTTGTAGATTCACAGTGCTTATGTACAGGCAACATTTCATGTGGTCCCGGAATGCTGTATTATAATGCCAATGTCCTTCACAGTTGCTGGAAGCTAAGCAGAGTCAGACTTGGTTTGTACCTGGATGGGCAACAGATGAGATTGGACATGTTAAAGGTGGTATGTACACCTAGTGGCCTTCATTTCATCATACAGGCATTTTACCACCTAGCACAAAATTAAGGGCAAAAATAGCACAATAAAATATTTGAGAGAAACAGCATTCACACAACTTTTGTTAGAGTATGCAGTTATAATCTTTTTATTATTCACATTGTTAGTCTCTTACTGTGCCTAATTTTTGTGAAAGAAACTTTAGACTAGATATGCATGTATAGAAAAGGGAAAATAGTATAGTTAGAGCTTAGCACTATCTGCAGTTTCAGTCTTCTACAGGAGGTCTTGAACCACATCCCCCATAGTAAGGAAGGGTCACCAAAACTAAATGGTAGACAATATGTATCCGAGACGTTTTCAGATGATTGTGTGAGCAACACATTTTAAAATAGAGAATAGAAAAATACCCAGGAAGGTATGAACTTTAGAAGTGACTTTCAACATGTAAAATGGAGACCAGAAAGACAGATGCTTTGTGGAAAGGAATGGGGAAAATGAGGAAGGACAGTAATGTGTTAATAGGATTGAATTTATTGGTTTAGGTTACGCTTTAGCTCTGCTGTTTCCTGGAAGCGTGGCCATCAGAGAAGCACTACCAGCTGCCACCGCAGACTCCTGAATCAACTGTGGAATAGCAAATAGCTAGACCTCCCTGAAAAAGTGCCAGCTTGCTTCTCTCAACTCCCTCTACAGTGCACAAACCTGTGTGTGTGTGTGTGAGAGAGAGAGAGAGAGAGAGAGAGAGAGAGAGAGAGAGAGACTGCATTCTTAACTTAAAGGATGACAATGATTTATTTTTCTTACTATATGGAACTTAAATATGTATTAGATGAGCCCAAAGAAATAATATTCTGTTTAGACTGATAAACTGAACCCATCTGAACCCATCTCCACAACTAAGGGATTAGATCCCTACTGCAAATACAGCCCTCAGGATACAAAGATAGTAAAAGCAAGTTTAAAATCCAAGTTGCTTTAAACAGTGGGAGTAAATGCACCCCCATCTGGAAAGGGTGACTGGGAACTGGCATCTGCGGCTTGTAATTCCACCCTCATGGTGTAAGGAAAATGCACACACTCAGTTGGGACTGTTTTCAATTGATCATTGTCTCTTTTCAGTTGTTTCATTTAGAAACCTTGTAATTAACCTTCACCCAGAGGTTTCATTTGCTGAAATGGATAGCATATTTTTGGCTGTGTTGTTTCAAGAGTAGAATGAGATCAATATAGTCAATAAGATGAAAATAGAATGTATTCAAATTGTTCAATGCAATTGGACACATTTGACATATGTTAGCATATTAAAGATGTGATTGAGGAAATAAATTAATTTCAATTTATAATAGTAATGAGAGTGCAAACCAAATGAAAAACAAGCTGCCGAAGGGGAAAAATATCCCCAGAATTTTCCTTTCTCTCTAAATTAAGGTGACAACCATGAAGGAGTTTTCATCTACTTGTTATCACGATTATCACTATCACTGGGGCACCTTGTCATACATCACATTAGCCACATATAGTGTAGAAGCTGCAATAATCAGTATACATCCAGAAAGGTTTCAATGTCATTTCTCCAAAATGCATGTTGATAAATGAAAGAAAGTCAATGTTTGAGCTAAGATTAAGACTTCAATGCCCTATTCATAACAGGGATAATATCATTGATGCTTCTAAGAAAAATCATTTGTCCATAATTTAGGGTGCTTTAGACTTAAGCAATAAAGTAACTAATAATACCTAATATAATGAAGCTAATAAACATTAAGCACAGCTCTTGTGTGACTTGTGCATCCAAGTAATGGCACTGAAGCTATAATAAGAGGCTACATATTGATATCACTTATAAGTGAAAAAATGCCTATTGACTCTTCATATCTATGGTACCTATGTTCATTTTTCCACTTTGACCACATAAAAATAATGTCAAATTCACTTATCTCTTTTATTCTCTTCTTTCTCAAACAGATTCAGAAATCAAAAACTGATCAACAAATTTGAAGATCCAATGTGTTACCTATTTCTGAAATTTATAAGATATTCTTTCATTTATGATTAAATGGTATATCAGCCCAATTAAACAAGGGCCCAAAGGGGAGGCGAGAAATAAGTGGCAGGCCAGCACTAGATTGAGAACTGATTGTTGCTGGGTGAGGTGAAGTATGACTTACATACGACCACTGGATGGGCTCAATAACTCCAGTGGATGCATTTACACTGACGGACATTTGGGTACAAACACCTGAATGAATAGGACTCAGAATGTATGGCAGAGTGCATAGGGTTTGGTGGGGGTATAGGGGGAGGCATGAATGCGGGAAAGGGTCTGGATTTGAGTTGGAAATGTTGTATGAAATTTTAAAAGCTCAATAAAATTTATCTTAAAAGAATGGTTCAAAGGAGAAAGAAACAATGAAGTTGTTAAATAAAAAGATAATTTACAGATGAATGATTCTCTATGTTTTGAAAATAACCACTTTGAAAGAAAATCTTCTTCACAAAGCATCATATCTTTAAATATATAAATCATTTACCTGTGACAAAATAATAATGTGACAGATGCTAATGGAAATTAAGGAAGGCACGAGGCAGATAAAGAGGAAGGGAAATAGATGGGAAAGGAGGAAAAGGAAGAAAACATGGAGGAGAACAGGAAGGAGCGAAGGAGAAAGAAAAACCAGGAATTTACTCCTATTTTTTCTGCTATTAGACTGAACTGTTTTGTGTTATTAATAGCCCAAAACAGCTTTTACTAGTATCACTCCCATGTCACAATGTGTTGACACATTATGTATTTCCTAACACATTTGGAATGTTAGGTTTCCCTAGTGAATCTCAGTATCTCAGAGGATGAAAACAAAATCTGAACACTGTCAGAAGCATCCAAATGTGCTCTAATTTAGAGACTCAGTAGACCATCCAATTACCTTGAGATGTCTATTATAGGACAAGAAATGAACCTTTGGGTGTTTTTTTAGATTAATTATTTATTATTTAACTTTCCTTTTGTAATATTGCTATTATATTTGGAATGGTTCTTACCTAGGTCACATAAAGTGGATTAGTTAGGAACACTAAGCTTTCTAAAGTATAGAAAGTAAAAGGTAGACATTTGAATGTTAGAAATATGTTTTATAATACTATATGAAAGTATCAAGTTTAACCACCATTAATTTTGTCTTTCCAGTCCTCATTGTCTCTCTGCACACACATGTATATACATATGGAAAATTTTAAAAAGAAACACATAATTATGCATTCTTTGGATATCAGATTTTCAGTAGTTAAAATCATGTTAATATCTGTGGTTTTGTTGTGGTTGAATTGTTTCTTTGTTTTCACAATCATGGCTATTAAGTACATTTATGACTATAAGATGTAGTCCATATTTTTATTATTTCCTTACTGAAGCTTCCTATAAAATAAATAATATATTCTAAAAAGATGATTTTTTTAAAGTCACGTGTATAGCAATTTTTCCCTTTCCTGTAAGAATATGGCCAAGATTGCCAGTGGATACCTGAAAATTGTGATAGCACAAAATTATATCAATACTATGCTTTTTCCCTATCTATATGCTTGCAATAACATTTAATTTACAATTCTGGAGCAAAAGGAAATTTATTTAATAACACACATGACATTTATAAATGAATGAAGCTTAATCTCGGACACTGCAGGCTCTAGAACTTCGAAAATTTTGCTCCAGACTACCCATCCACACTATGTTATGTAGCCTGAGTTGCCTAAGACACTGAATACATCATAATGTAAAACTTATACCACAAATACTCAATTTGACAAGTACCAACAATAAAGAGTAACAGTTATCTCTCACTTATTTATGAAGTTTCTAAGCTACGTCAACCTATCTGCTCCATCCTATTGATTTCTGCTGATGAATTTGTGACACAGGCTGGGTAATTTGAGTAGAGTAAAATTTATTTACTCACAGTTCTGAAAGCAGTGAAGCCCCAGCTCGGTGTGCAGATGGGTTTCGTGTTGTTCAGGGTCCAGGAAAGGTTTCTAACATAGTACCTCGAATACTGTTTCTCACATAGTAAAGGACTGGAAAACAGAAATCACTCCCGTAAGTTTTTTCTAGCACATCAGCCCACTGAAGAGAAAAGAGTCTTCATGATCAAATGCCTCCATGATCAAATGCCTCCCCAAAGCCCAGAACGCAACACAGTTTTGTAGGAAACTAAGTTTTCAAGCTGATAATTTAGGACACATCCAAACCATAAAAATTCTGAATAATTGATTTCAATGATGTCATAGTACATTGTTTCAACTCTGTAACATTTGTGTTACAGACAGGACTTATCTCTCAAATTGTTTACCTTTTGTGAACAGTTTATTCTAAAACTCATCTCATGTTTTGCAACACAGTTTTGTAGGAAACTAAGTTTTCAAGCTGATAATTTAGGACACATCCAAACCATAAAAATTCTGAATAATTGATTTCAATGATGTCATAGTACATTGTTTCAACTCTGTAACATTTGTGTTACAGACAGGACTTATCTCTCAAATTGTTTACCTTTTGTGAACAGTTTATTCTAAAACTCATCTCATGTTTTTCCCTAC